GGTGCGAGACCAAAAAATCGCTAAAACTTTGAAACTAAATATATTTTCAAAATTCCACGTAGTATTTGCTTGTTGTTAAAGTAAATGTAGTTCACGGTGAAAATTTCGAAGAAATTTATTTTTCGAGCCCCAAGTCAATGGGCGGTTTTTAGAGACACACGCTCTTAAAGGCTTAAACTAAAGCAAATTGTCTGAAATTTTGTACAGTAATTTAAAACCTAACAAATGTTCCATACATTAACTCGAAATACGATTAAAGCTTTAAATTTCGTGTGCAAGCCATTTTTAGTTTTGTTGGAAAAGAAACACCCCCCAGGGGCCGGTTGTATAAAAAAGTGATTAAAGTTAACTATAATTAAGTGGAAACGTCATCCAATAAGAAGCACCTATTTGAGAGTTGATCACTATTTAAGAGTTGATCACTATTTAACTACAAAATAGTGATTAAAAAAGTGATTACTGCATGTCGATGCAATGGAAGTGTTGATAAAATATTGCATGAATTCATTTCAGTTTCTATCAAATGAATTGATCAACTTGAGGAAAGGAATTGGTGCAATATTTTGTCAACACTTCCATTGCATGGACAGTAAGAGTTTTATACAACCGGCCCCTGGTTTATACAATTTAAGTTCGAGTATTTTTTTTTCATTATTCTACATTATAGGTACTCAAGGAATCTATATATAACAAAAACTTGATACCACGAACTGTTTTGCGAAATTGAGAGCAATTTCAAATCTGTTCAGTTTTTTTTATACACCCTGTATAAAGCAACTGATGTGTTAAAAAGTGGCGGACGTTTTGCGAAATATTGGGGGGTGGGAGCGAATTAGTTGCAAAAATGCACTATACAGATGACCACCTTTTGTAGCTGAAATCTTAGTTATTTAAGCCCTGTTTAAACGGATCCAACATTGTTGGGCCAACATCGTCCAACATTGTTGAAATAATGGCCCAAACGGCTTCTTTTTCAAATATTTTTGTCAAGACTAGGTTTAGAGTTTGAATAAAGCTTATCTAACCAAAAAGATTTGAAAGAGAAGTACTCGTATCTATTATAGTAACATTGTTGGATGATGTTGGTCCAACAATGTTGAATCCGTTTAAACAGGGCTTTAAACTTTTTTGCCTTAAATTCCATGCTTTCGGAAATTATTAGAGTGGTGGATGCCCCCCTCGTGCCCCCTATATACTGTACCCCACCGCTATTGGTGTTAAATTGAATAAGCATTTTTGACAATGCCAAAAATTAGCCTATCTAATACCATTTGGTACTTGCTATAATTATTAATTTCTTGTTTCCTTTAAAACTCATGTTTTGCCCACTACGAAAGCAATTTGCCGACTGGGATTCACTGAGGGGGGATTATCACACACACACGCCACTTTAGTAGCGTACCTGGACAGAAGGCGGCAAATTGTAAAAGATTATACCCGAGCAAACAGCGGTAATTTTTTGTTTAATTTTCTTTTAGGATACGACAAACAAGATGTTTGTGCAGTTTGAGTTCAAAAAATTGTTTAAAAAATCTGATCAAATGAAGACATTGCCGCTCTCTCTCAAACCATGCTTGTACAAAAGACGGTAAACCTTGTCATTTAAAAAATTGTTGATGAATGCTGAATACTAATTTTGTTATGTTTATAAACGAACCAAGAGGTGCGAACATTCTTGCGAGTTTTGCGTTTATTGCTGCGATTTTACATGATTATATTCAAGTTGGGCAGATTTATGGGCAGATATAAAGTTGGTGAAATAAAGAAATGTTTCGCATCCCCATAGCGTTTAAACGAATTAAACGCCATTTCAAAATAATTTTGACGTCAGCATAAAAGAGAGAACTGTTGGGAGCCACCTGAATTTTAAAAATATATTGTGTCGGCTTGAGACCTGGCAGAATTAGCTGCAATGATGATGTATGAATCTATAAAACTGTCTTACTTTAAATTTCATTGTATATACCATAGTATATACGAATAAAGAGTTTTCGTTCTCGATTTATATATCTCAAGAAATAATGCTTTAATTTTTTTTTAAAAGTTAAAAGCCGACGACGTTACAACGTTATTAGGTCAAGTATGAGTTCTACAGATATTTAAAAACAAAAATTATTAATAAAAAGGTTAAAGGAAGAGTTTGGCACTAAAACCCTGTTGAAATGTTGGCCTCGTTTGAGATAGGGCTTAATAGAGTCTCTCTTAACGAAGAGCGTTTCGTAGGTATGAAGATAGTCAAACTTACCCAGACACGTTTTCAAAACATGAAATTGACTTTCGTCCACCATGGTATTGTATACATTTAAAAAAATACTGAAGTTAAGGTAAGGCGATAACTCAAGAGCAATTCGATTTCCCCGGCATGCATATAATGAAGGCACATGATCATAAAGCCACATGATCATAGACATTCGCGACCCCCCCCCCCCAAAAGAAGATGCCTGATTTTACCGCACTTCTGGGTTTTGACCACCTGTTATTTCGCACGATTTCCAATGTAGAATTCACAAAAACGTGAATCATTACAACTACCAAGTTTCAAATAAAACAACTAGTGTCTCTGTATCAAAATTTTTTTCAAAACGCCCATTTTTCAAAACCAGAAGTGCGGTAAATTTCTGAATTTTTGGATATTTATACATAATGATAAACAGAACCTCGTGTGGTTTGAAATGCATGTTTCGTGGAAAGTAATGAATGCAGAGATGTTCATATCGGTAAATGCAGCTCACGAAAATGGAAACCATGCTTTTGTTCCCGAAATGCATGCATGTTTTCCCAGCGACGTAAGAATTAAAATACTATATTTGCTACCTTCAGATTAATACGTTATTGATTGCATTTTCGATACTCTATGATGAAGTGATATAATAAAGTGTACAGTATATAAATAATAATGTTGTTAAGATATTTAGATATTGTATAGCATTAATTTTGATTTTCTTATTGGTCCGACAACTGTCTTTTTAAAGTAAACAAAGAAAATAGTCATCAAATTAATGTTATCAGCATTTTTAGTATAGTTATTCATAAATAATTCTGTTTTATGCAATAATGTCTTTCATTTTTGAAACCAATAACTTGTTATATTCAAGAACACTTTTGACATTCTCGAAGTTAACAGATGAGCCTGCAAACCATGTACTTCTGCTGCCTTGCATTTTAAAGATATTCCATAGTGCACCATCAGCCATGTCATCGGGAGAGAACTTTGGAAAATATTCCCAACTTTCTTGTCGTATTATCTGTATGTTCGAGGCATTCGTGGATTCGAGGGTTTTTGTCAGGATTTTTTTGAGGCAGTACTTGCTACGAGGCTTTCTTTTCCCATATTGATAAGCAACGCCTGTGCGAATGAACTTTCCATCAGGTCCTCCAGGAAGGGATCCACTTTTGTAATCTTCTCCGTGATAGTTGTTGAGTGCGCCAAATGAGTCTCGTTGAGCCCACAACGAATGTTCACGTTTGTTTTTGACGTTATCTGGCCAGTTGTCGATTGGTGAGTAACCTCGGGTTCCGTACGTTGAGGAGAAAAGTGTTGTACTAAACCAAGCTGGTTTAAGTTTTGAGAAGATATTCCACTCTTTACGGCAAGCATCCAGTCTGCGAAGAGTTGTGTAAACACTAGGGGTCCAGATAAGGAAATTAAAAAATATTCTTTTTCGGTGCCATCGACGTCTATACTGTAAGTCAAGGTAGCCATAATCGCTATATCTCTTTACTTTTAAGATGTCGGCGTTTAAAATAACATTGATATTTTCTTTTTCTACTACTGTCTTCCACACATTTTGAAAGCCGCCACGAATCATGTTGAAACCGTGCGATACTCCAATAAACTTATCAGCCAATGCTTTAACATGAACTGGCTTGTTCCACATGAGACCGTACAATGCGGAAATCTCATCCAAATGGCCGTATCCTAGAATTGTATGCGATGCAACGAAAATGGGTTTTAAGACGAGAAGTTTATTTTTCATTAGAAAGTCTTCAAAAGTACACCTGAGGGTTGCCATTGTCTGTTGATCAGGTTCTCTCATTAATTCTCCCTCGTACTTTCCAAACATATTTCGATGTAATGCGCAGTATTGGACCATGGCTTTAAACAATGCAATTTGGGCAACTGTCTTGTTGCTTGTTTTCCAAATTTTCATGATTTCTGGAATTATATAGGAAGAGTAATTAATTGGGGATGGAAATTTATCTGACCAAACGTTAGCAGAAGGTAGTTCTACTGGATCCCAGTGTCCATATTCTTTTGCCAAAGCAATGAGGTTCTCGTCGTAATCTGGCTGCGTGTAACATGTTCCCATTTCATGAATTGTGTTTCTGTGTTCAACTGTAAGAGATTTACCACCAATGCGATCTGTCTTTTCATAGACACCAACATTTTGGAATCCTTTTTTCTTCAGCAAGTATGCCATATGAATTCCTGCAGGGCCTGCGCCAACAATTGCAATTTTGTCTTTCACACTTTGTGGAGAAGGAATAGTCGTGGGAAATGGAATGCCTTTTGGGGGTGGGCTTGATTGAACTATTCTGACAATTTCCATGTAAGCATCTTTAGCAGTCAGACAATGGCTTTGGTGTATGAATATTATTAAACAAACCCAGGCTAGCATGTTGGGAATCCACATGGTGGAAAACATCTAAAATGACAGAGAGTTTATGATAAAGTCTGGACAGTGGGGAGTAATTTGGTTACATGAGATTTACTACCAGCCTATTCGTCCTGCGCGTTCTTTATCGGTGGTAGAAGCGGAGTATTGAGTACTGGGTTTTTAAGTACTATTTAAATATGAATATTCCTGATAAGAATATGAATATTTGAAAGAAAAATAGCGTTTCAGGAGTATTGAAGGTAAAAAGTATTGAATATTAAAGAAAAAATATTCATCTTCCACCGCCGATTCTTTAGGCCAGCAAGATTATTATTTTCGACGTTATCGTTTGCTTTCTATCCAAAAAATCTCAGTCAAAAAGTGACAGAGTGATCCAAATGTTTGTACATTACTCACGGTTACCGTGATTTGCCGCGGTCCCAGACGAGGCTGTGACTTGGATAAAAAGACAATGGGAACATTCTGATCAGCCTTTTGGACATTCGTCATGGAAAGGTTACAATTTCTGGAAGGACTGCAGAAATGGCGTCATACACAGATACACTGCTTGCTTGCGTTATAGCCATAGAAATATTAGACCCATGTCTATTACTTCTATGGTTATAGCCTATGCCATAACCTTCGCCATAATTTGTACATATATGTCACCATTTTGTCGTTAAAAATAAAAAGTTTGAGAGCAATTTTGAACGCTAAAGTTATGTTTGAGAACTAAAACGAGTGCAAAAGTTTACTCTGATGGCTTTAAAAAAGCTCAAATACAGTCATCCTGCTTCAAGTTTTATAATTATAGAAACCTTGTAAATAACACTTGTAAATCAGCTAAAAGGAAATATTTTAACACAAGGTTAAATAACACACAATCCTCTTCACACAACTGTTTGAATAAATTAAAGACTTATATCAGGTACCTCCAAGAGGAAATCACCATTCATATCATGCGCCAAAATGAAATTCTAACTGGACCCTCCTTAGTCAATTGCAACTTTATAAATGAAGCGTTTTCCCTATACTTTTGGCTGAAAATGTAAAGGTACGTTTACACGCTGCGATTTGTCGGGCCGATTTTGCTCGCTGTATGTAAATAACCTGTCGTGAGCACCTTGCGATTCACAAAATCGGGAGAAAAATCTGTAACACTAACACAGATTTTTTTCACGATTCAACGATTTTTCTTCCGTTGTAAATTGTTGAAAACTTTTCGCACGCAGAAAACTATAATATGAACAGACGAGAGAGCGGACAGCTTCAATCGAACGTTTAAATCGCTAAATGTCGAAGAAGGGGCATCGATTATTTACCAAAATCGGCCCGACAAATCGCAGCGTGTAAACGTAGCTTAAGCAATGACACTTGCCAGAACACTCTGCGTCGCGCGAGAAAATGACGCAATCAGACAAAACTCGTGTACCGCAAAACAGCTAGGAGTTTCACATCTGTATGCTATTTCATCTGTGACCATACGCACTTCTTTACCCAATTCCAAAGCTATATAGATTTTATAAAAACAAAGCTTATATTTACTGTGGAAACGCCAGGGCGAAAACAAGATTGAAAACGATTTAGAAA